GCAATTGTTGTTCACTACCAAGCCTCCTATGACATAGTTACCTTTACATCTGCCCAGCAGAAGACACACAGGTGTCAAATCCTGCAACATGGACCGGGCAAACCACAGCCCACATCACTTCCGGTTGTCCAGGGACAGGCACACTATGTTGGCCTGCGTGACAACTGGCCAGTTTGATGCTAGTTTGCAGTGACAGATAATTTTTTTCCCCAAAATATTTGTCTACATGAGGGGTGTACGTACGTGAGTGTCGGTGCTGTGGAGGTCAGGGTACCTTCCATCCCTTGGAGCTGGAGCTGCAGGCGGTGGTGGGGCAACCATGAGTGTGGTGGGTAAACCCAAGTCCCTTGCAAGAGCAGCGTAAGCTCTCAACTGCAGCGCCAGCCTGAGCCCATGTTGTTGTATACCGTTCAAAAGCTGAAAGCCCACAGTCTAAGACTGCAGGCAATCTCTATGAGCACAAAAATTAATAAATAAACAAACAAACAAATAAATCAAGTTACCCACTTTCAAAATACAATGACAGCCGGGCAGTGGTGGCGCACGCCTTTAATCCCAGCACTCGGGAGGCAGAGGCAGGCGGATCTCTGTGAGTTCGAGACCAGCCTGGTCTACAAGAGCTAGTTCCAGGACAGGCTCCAAAACCACAGAGAAACCCTGTCTCAAAAAACAAAAAAACAAAAAACAAAACAAAAAAAATCAAAATACAATGACATAGAACAAAAATTTCTGTCCTGAAAAGGGTGATGGACCATAGCAAGGAAGGACTGAACCAAGGCAAAACCAAGCCCCTCTCCGCAAACCCTGCAGCCTTGTGTTTGGTGACACTGTCTAGGCTCCAATGGACTTGGCTAGCCCTTCCCTATAGCGCTGTTGCCTGTACCACATGTGATCTTTCTTGGGCCAACTCCAGTCTCTGGCTGTGGTATTCCTTGGCAAATATCTCAAGTTCTAGCTCTGTAGCATCCTTAAACCTATTGCAACTTAGGCTTCACCTTCAAAGCTTGCTGAATTACCCACTGAGATATTGTTCCATGCATGGGGCCTGGTTCCACTCCGTAGTAATCCAGTCCTCTGGTGGCTATCTAGAACCTTGGTATGAGCTTCCACGGTACTCTAACTCTGGAATTTTGCACGCTTGCAAAATCAATAGTAAATTCTGCTGCCAATTCAAGGTGCAGCCTGGCTCCCTTTAGTCTCTGCTGGGGCAGGCTCTGAGTACCAATATGGCTGAACTTAATCAAACAGCTCCCTAGCTGGCTGAGTTGGTGTAGGCTGCCTAGGAGCCTTCAGAGTGGGCGGTCTTGTACCGAAGGAACCCTCCTATTGAACGGAAAGCTGGAACGTACTCTTCAGGTCGGGCTGTTCTCTTTACAGGCCAACAGCATTGCCAGCAGTGACTTTGTCCACTACTCTATAGTTACTCCCCCTCCTTTCCTGGCCCCAATGCGTGTTTTCCACACCATTCCGCTCTGCTTTCTGCTCCGGGTTCTCACTGCAAATCTAGATAGAAGCAGCAAGAGCAGATCCTAGGCTGCTTGGCTGCTTGAGATTGCCTCCACAGCATCAATCATGCGTTATATTTGAATTAAGCTCTGTGTAGGCTTGCAGGAAAGATGGTCAAGAGTCTTCGTGAGAGAATCTAACACAACTGGCCTGGCCAGTTCCCTCACCTAGAGCCCTCTTCCCCTCCCCGCTCTGAAACCTCCCGGAGAAGTTTCTGGTCCATCTTTCTAGTGAAACAGTGGCCTCTTAAGCTCTGCACACAGCACTTAAAGGCTCCTCTGGGCTACAACTTCAGCTTCTTCCACAGACAGCGAGACAGACAGACAGACAGACAGGACCAACGAAAAGAAAGACAAACAAATCAACCACAAAAACATATCCCCAGAGAGGCAGAGAGACTGGAAACTGGCCAGGCTGTAACGTCGGGCGCTCACTCCGTGGTCACTGGCTTCTTCTAGAGAGACCTCTCCCCACAGTGGTTCTGTGATGCCTGTGATGCGTCAAAAGAGCCTCCACAAGCTGGGGATGAAAGGTCCAGATGTGTGAACTTGTCCAAGGGCAACGCTTTTCATTGACATCCTAACAGTCTGAGAGAGGGATTAAAATGATAAGTGGGTACCACAGTGAGCACTGGAGCTAGGTTCCCGGCTTCAAATAGCCTCACGGAAGACTACATACTCGAGCGAAATTAACCCCTGTACGGCTTAATTGCTACAGCCATGAACATTCATCGTCCTGGTATCTTTCTCAGACAGTTATGGCTTACCTGGAATTATAAATGTTTATGGACTGACATCTAAACCGGGTTTGGTGTAAGGGTCAATAAATGTGAGTGGCAAAGTTGACAGATAAGAGGGGACAATGGACCTTGGTTGATGTGGGAGTGTCATATATCAATCTGTTGATTTCATTGGTTAAGTAATAAACAAACTGCTTGGGCTCATAGCTTAGAACATAGGTGGGTGGAGTAAACAGAACAGAATGCTGGGAGGAAGAGGAAGTGAGCTCAGACTAGCAGACGCCTCAGAGAGACGCCATGCTCCCAGCTCCCAGGCAGACACACGCCATAAAGCTCCGACCCAGGATGGACTAGGCTAGAATCTTCCCGGTAAGACCAGTGCTCACAGATTATTAGAGCTGGGTTGATCGGGATATCAGAATTAGCCAGTAAGGGCTAGAGCTAAAGGGCCAAGCAGTGTTTAAATGAATACAGTTTGTGTGTTGTTATTTCGGGGCATAAGCTAGCCAGGCTGCCGGGGTGCTGGGGATGCAGCCCCGCCGCTCTTATTACTACACTTGGTCACCGGGAACTTGCACCTAGCATTGTCAGAGATCAGAAGCTAATGAAGGCTTCTTTTTTTTTTTTTTCATCTTGCTGTTTAATCTAGCACGTTGCCTAGAAAGGCTTGTTAGCAAGAGTACAAATACGTCTCCAGCATGTCTCTTAGAGACCGGTTCACCCACTGCTTTGTTTGGCCGCTAGCCTCTTGTCTCTCTCTTCAGCAATTGTGAGGCGGATTCCTTTTCCTCGGGGAAGAGAAATCCATGGTTTGTTGCCCTTGCCAATAACAAAAATGTTGGAAAGCCGGGTGGCAAAGCTGTTGCCATTGGCATCTTTCACATGGACCACATCAAAAGAGCCGGGATGTCTCTCTCTGTTGGTGATCACACCAATTCTTCCCAAGTTAGCACCCCCAGTCACCATACACAGGTTACCAGTGTCAAACTTGATGAAGTCGGTTATCTTGCCCGTATCCAAATCAATCTGAATGGTGTCATTCACCTTGATGAGGGGATCAGGGTAGCGAATAGTGCGAGCGTCACCAGATGTGGGATTCCTTTTGTGCCCACAAAGATCTTTCTCACTTTGCACAACTTGTACTTGGCCTCCTCAGGTGTAATACGATGAACGGCAAAGCGACCCTTGGTGTCATAGATCAGACGGAAGTTCTCTCCAGTCTTGTCAATGCTGATGACATCCATAAACCCAGCAGGGTAGGTTATATCGGTCCTGACTTTGCCATCAATCTTAATGAAGCGCTGCATGCAGATCTTCTTCACTTCATCGCCAGTCAGGGCATGCTTAAGCCTGTTCCTCAGGAAAGTGATCAGAGGCAGACATTCCCTCAGCTTGTGAGGGCCAGTGGACGGACGAGGCACAAACACGCCGGTTAGTTTATCCAGCATCCAATGCTTTGGAGCTGCTACACGCTTCAGATGTTTCTTGGGACCACGAGCCATGGCTGCGCTGTGAACGGAAAGAGCCTAATGAAGGCTTCTAAGCAAGCAATAGGCTCACTGGGATGTTGTTGTATGGTGGTCCCCGCAACAGCAGTAGAAGTGGGCTGGATGCATGGTTCCTACTCTACTCCCTCCCCAATACAAAATTAATATATATACATATATACATATATATACATATATACATATATATATATAGGTTTTGCTGTCATAGATCTGATTTCATAATTAATAGCAGTAGTAACAGCAAGGAGGGACTTAGGAGAATAGATCTAAAGGACACCCCGAGAATCTAGGCTGGGCGGCACACATCTGGGTACTCCCAACACCTAGAAGGCAGAAGCAGGAGGATCACAAATTTGAGGCCGGCAGGGGTTATAAAGTGAGACTCTATGTGAGAAAGTAAAAATAAAATAAAAAGATGATCTGAGAGAGAAGGCTGAATCCACCCAGCCTGCTGGGAAGGAATCAAAGCTGGGAATGGGTGCGCCCTACAGGAGCCAGCTGAGTTAGTTACCCTGGAGAGATGACCATTTTAAACCACAGGCTGTGTTTTTTCACAGTGCTGCCCCAGGCTCCCGTTCTAGCGGCTCCTAGTTGTTGGAGATTTTGCCGTCTGAGTGATACAGATGAATGGCGGTGTCGGGGAAGGTCCACGAGAAAACCTGCTCACTAGACCTGTGGGAGATGGTCCAGCTCCAGCTGCCTCCTGGGAGGGCTGCCTCTTCCCCAGATTTCTTCGGGGCTTTGCGGTGCTGTCCTGCCCAACTTGTATAAAGTAAAAAAGGCTATAGAGCGCTGCCTTTGAAGGCCCACTGCACTCTCAGAGACTCTGAGCGCCTTTGAACCCAAAGTTTTATGTTGCCCTTTTAAAAGCCCCACCCTTGCTGTCCGTCACCCATACAGACCATCCATTTCCACCTATCATTCCCAGCTATCTTTAGGGCACACAGAGTACCACTTTAAAGAGATGCAGTGGGAGACAAGTTCCCTATCCAAGGTCGTCTTCCTGCCTGGCCGGCCCTTGGCCAGCTAATAGAAGGCATATGCCCAGAAGACACTGCTTTGACTAAAGGAACATGCAGCAAACTTAGACATCTCTATTAGAACAGGGGACTCGAACATCGCTAGCAGGAAGTCCAGCGCCACAGCTTCCAACCGGTTCGTCAAACCCAAACCCACAATATCGGAGTCCTCATGAATGAAGGGGGAAGAATATTCTCCAGAGTCTGTGGGTGGGTTCGGAAGAAACCACGCACGCCTTGAACAGTGGATGAGACGACCCTGAGCTTCCTGGCCCACCCATGTAATTCACTGTGCTTGTGACGTCGGGGACGCCAGACTCCAGCAGGCGTGGGATGCCCTTACCCGCCCCAGAAGTCACAGGCGTCACCGCGCCTTTCCACGCCACCAGCCCGGGGAAAGAGAAGGGGCGGGGACCTGGCAGCAACTGGGCTGCCCGTCTCGCAGCCAAGAGAGGCAAGGCACCTCCCCGGCTTCGCAGCGGTGACCTCCGCGGTCCTCCAGGCCGCTCGCCCTCCGGCTGCGCCCGCCCCAGGACGCCGGCGCCGGGTCCCCGCGCGACTACCTCCTGGCGTTGGCACTCCCCTCCTCCTCCTCGCTCGCCCCTCCTCCGCCTCTTCCGTTTCAGAGGGAAAGTCTGCAGCCTCTTTCTGGGCTCCGCATCCCCGCTTAGGTAATCCTCTTTCCTGCTTGCGCCACCCCTCCCCGGTGTCCCCGCGCCAGCGTCTCCTCCTCCGCGCATCTGGGTCCCCGCGAGCGGCGCGCGCTCCATCGCCTCCGCGGAGAGCAGGTGAGTCGGTCTCCGGCCGAAGGCTGCTGGCCTCCGAGGCTGGGCCTGCGAGGTCCCGGGCCACTGCAGCGAGGCCGCCCCGGCCTGGCCGTGCCCACGGGGACAGAGCCCGAGTCGCCAGCCGGGACGGTCCCGCAGCCCCCCTAGCTCTGCAGGAGCAGCCTGCAAGAGATCGGCGCGGGAAGATGAGTAGCAAGCAACTTTCTTCCCCTGCTTGGTTCCTTTCGGTTCTGCTACTAGGCTCTAGGTTGAATGGACTGACCTGAGGATGGTCGAAAGCAGAGGCCCAGGTCCCACGGGTTGATGGCGTAGCTGCCAAGAAGCCAGGGAGCAGTTTGAGAGATGCTCGTTGGCAGGGGTCTGTGTTGGCTGCCTCGAGAAACCCCTTCTTGAATGTAAAGTAAACAGACCGGGACTATATTTAGACAAATCTCCGTCCCTTCCTTGTAATTCTTTCTACACTTTGAAGTCTGGTTGAGTGAGACATGCCTAAGGCAGCAGGTGTGGACTGCATGGGCGGGTGTCACCTAAACCTGTAACCTGGCTTTGGTGAAATCACACGGACCGTCAGACGTGAGGAAGAAAATCCAGGGGAAACGCGTGAGCGAGCACAACATGTCCTTTGGAGATTTCCATCCTCAAAACTACCACTGAACGCGTGGAAGTTTGCCCACTGGGTGAGGGTGTTCGCTTAAAAAGCACGGCGGCTTGAGGCCCTGCGGACAGGCCACTTGAGGGAAATGGAACGTTTTTTTGGCTCTTTGCCCTTAATTTCCAATTTCGATAAGTTGGTAAGGCTTGGGTCCGCTCCTAACAATCTAAGGCAGAAAACAGACCCCTACTCTTGGCTGATGAACTAACTGAATGACCTCAGCCAGGCCTATGAAAGTATAAGGGAAAATGCAGACAACAGGAAAGCCCATTTTAACCCCTGCTCAACCCGTTTTCTGTTTGTTTGTTTGTTTGTTTGTTTTTTTTGGTTTTTCGAGACAGGGTTTCTCAGTGGTTTTGGAGCCTGTCCTGGAACTAGCTCTTGTAGACCAGGCTGATCTCGAACTCACAGAGATCCGCCTGCCTCTGCCTCCTACCCGTTTTCTGCTTTATTAACTTAATTTTTAAGGGCTTTCATGCTACTTTTGAAGTTAATTCCTAGTCATGACGTAAGTCATACGAAATGAATAAAGCTACCTGTTTTGAATAGAATAAATACCTCCTCTTGGCAAGTTTTGAACTCAGCCACCGCTTGTGTGGTAACCGTAGCCTAGATTCAAGCTCTGTAGTATGAAATTCATTATCACTGATTTAAGTTATAGCTATACTTGGAGTAAAACCACACTGGGAGAGAAAAAAATGCTTATTTCTTTTTAGAAACAAAAAAAGCCAACAAAATACAAGCAATCGGGGTGAATCATTATAAAGACATTTCCTCTTTTATTTCGACCCTGAATAATAATTAGAAAAAAAAAGTCTTATTCTATTTCAAGTCACCCCCGAAACTGCTCAAAAGTTAAACATGTAATCAATTAAAAGCAAACACCTTCGGCTTTAAAGGCAAAAATGGCACACACGAGAACTTTCTCCAGGTAGGAGCCCTTGTAAATATCCTTGTTAAAATGCAGCCTGTGACCTAACGAGGTCAGCAGGACTCAGTGTTCGTGCTTTTTGCCCGGGGTAATTTGGAAATAAAAGTTTTGCTTTCTGTTTCTCACAATTAGCGTGGAGTCATGTTCCCTACGCATGCCTTTTAGTTAGCATGACCCGAGCTAGGGGGCAGGTAAGGGAATGGCAATAATAGCAGAAGGTGTGTGTGTGTGTGTGTGTGTGTGTGTGTGTGTGTAGGGTGAAGGGTTTATCGCATAAAGCCCTGCATAACCCCGGGACTCATACAAAAGGCAGGCATAGCCGTCTTCCAGTACTTTGAGGTGAATTCTCAGGACAATCTGGCTAGCTAGAGCAGCCTGAGCAAGCTTCAGATTCAGTGAGAGACACTGTTACAGCGAACTGGAAAGATCTAAGGGGACCTCCAGCTCCAACTGTGGGCTTCCACAGGCACACACACACACCCGCATCTACAAATATTGGATCATGCTATGCATACGTGCGCATAAACATATACCACATGCACGAAATGATACTCGGATGCAACTTGGTAACTCCATTCTAATGTTTAGTTAGTAAGGTAGACAGGGTCTGATGTATCTCAGCCTGGTCTCAATCTCTCTGAGGTAGAGGAGAGCCTTGATTTCCTGTTTCCACCTCCGCAGTGCTGGTGTTATAGGAATATGCCTCCACACCAGGTTATTAATACTGAAAATGGATCCTAGGGCCCCAGGCATGTCTGGCGAGCACTTCACCGACTGAGCTGCATCCTCAGTTCACAACATAGTACTTCTAAGTCATCATTTCAAAAATAAATTTAAAGTAGAAAACAACGACAAATTTTTGAAAGGATGAACAATACCAAAAAATACGCAGTCTTGAAATCTGCAAGTGAGAATGAATTCATTGTTGCAAAGGTGGGTAGCTGTGTGGTCGTTCAGAAGTCTTCCGTGTAAAATGTTCATTAATAAAAGTTGAGGTTTTATGTACGTAACGATGTTACTCATTTAAGAAATCAGTGCATCTAATTCTTCTGCTGACCAAATACATATTGTTGCAAGTGTATGTTCTTACACATATTTTTTGCAACTCCATATCCATTATGATGTATGTAATGCTAATCAAGTCTTTTCATATTAAAAAAGTTTTTCGGGCTGGAGAGATGGCTCAGAGGTTAAGAGCATTGCCTGCTCTTCCAAAGGTCCTGAGTTCAATTCCCAGCAACCACATGGTGGCTCACAATCATCTGTAATGGGGTTTGGTGCCCTCTTCTGGCCTGCAGCATACACACAGACAGAATATTGAATACATAATAAATAAATAAATATTTTTAAAAAAAGTTTTTCCTATTGAAAACCTGAATAGGGATCAGGGGTGTACATAGTCTAGTTTTCCAAATTCTACAAAATGGAACACATCCATCTGCAAGATTTCATTCCTTTGAGTTACTTCCTGCAGGTAGTGGTGTTTGATTACATAAAGAACAAGTAGGACATTTTCTTATAATTTCCTTAGTTTGTTGCCACGTGATGGAAAAGTCTGTTTTTAAACTTCTGCTGTTGACATGGTGTGTTGTTGCAAGGGAGAGGGGCTGCATGTTTGTCCCAGCCACCCGGCTAGCTTACACCTGAAATAACCACACAGAAATTGTATTAATTAAAACACTGCTTGGCCATTTGCTCTAACTCCTTTTTTTTTTTTTAACTTTCAACAAGTGGTCTAGTCGACCACTAACACATGATGTGTGTTATGTATATGGAGTGATTCATATTTCTGATTATTTCTTGTAACTGAATAAATAATAGTCAATTCTGTATCATCTGGTATAAATTCAGCCTATTTTTCTTTTTGTAAAGATTTATTAACTATACAGCATCTACCTGCATGTATCCCTGCAGGCCAGAAGAGGGCACCAGATCTCACTACAGATGGTTGTGAGCCACCCTGTGGTTGTTGGGAATAGAACTCAGGTCCTCCGGAAGAACAATCAGTGCTCTTAACCTCTGAGCCCTCTCTCAGCCCTACCTCTAACTTCTTATTGGCTAACTCTTACATATTAGTTTAACCCACCTCCATTAATCTGTGTATCATCACATACCAGTGGTTTACCAGAGATTCTAACCCGTGTCCATCTCTGGCGGAGGATCCATGGCTTCTCTGACTCTGCCCTTCTTCCTCCCAGCATTCAGTTCTGTTTTCCCCGCCTACCTAATTTCCACCCTATCAACTAGGCCAAGGTAATTTCTTTAGTCATTAACCAATGAAAGCAACACACAAACAGAAGGAACTCCTACACCAGTGTGGTTTTTTTTTTTTAACTGAAATTCTGAGACCTTCAGCATATTTCCAACCAATGATTGATTTCTGCACTGTCTTGTGCTACAAGACCTGGCAGACCCATGATGTGTGTTATGTATATGGAGTGATTCGTATTTCTGATTATTTCTTGTAACTGGATAAATAATAGTCAATTCTGTATCATCTGGTATAAATTCCGTGGTTACAACTCTTTCTGCATATTGTGAATCAGTAACTCTGTTGAGAGGTTCTTTAACATACCATAGCATATAATTGTGACTTTTGGACAGAACCATAAGGGCATTGATTCACTTAAGTTTTCTGATTTTTAATCTGTCTTTCCTAATTATTTATATCAGTTATTGGTGTGTCCCCTATAATGTGGGGAAGGATCCAACTAGTTCTCTTTATAAGTTGAATTCTCTTGCTTTTGGGGATAGTTGTTGTTAATCTCTCCCAAAAAATTACTACAAGCTCTTTACCAAGGTTCACTTTCTTTCCATAATGTGTCAATTTCATCATTCTTAAAAGGTACTATACTTTCTGCCGGGTCTATTCCTGCTAATTAATGAAATCTCAATTTTCCTTTTAGAATTAACTCAGAGACCTTTTACACATAAATTTTTTATTTTTTTACTTGGTTTATGCAATAAAAGATCAATTCAAAGATAATATCTTCCCTCTGCATTAAAATCCTGTAGGAGAATGCTGTAGGAGAATGTGACCACAATGCAATTAAACATTGGATCCACGTGTGCCTTCTGCAATTTCTCTTCTATCAAAGCCAATTCTCTCTCAGCTTTGGCTGATAATTTCCTGGAACTATTTAAGTCCTTGTCACCATCTAAGATTTTGTTTAAACTAATCGGTTCATCAAGTTTTATCCCAATAGTGGGCCATAGATTGGAAATATCTCCTAGCAATCTTTGGAAGCCATTAAGAGTCTACAACCTCCTATTTTGCACCTTTTGGGGCCTCATGTTTTGTAAACCTATATTATAGCCTAAATAGTTAAAAGAATCTCTTCTTTGAATTTCAGGAGCAATTTGTATTCCCCAACAAGGCAAACTTTTCTTTACTTCTTCAAAATTCTTTCTAAAGTA